ACCGTGCTTCAACACAAACTGTAACACAGAGGAAACATCCATCGTGCTGTATATCATATTCAGAGGTAGGAAGTAGTGGAGTACAAATACTTTGTTACTGTACTTAAGTACATGTTTCTAGTATCAGTACTTTACTCCACTACTTATTTTTCTGACAACTTTTTACTTTGACTTCTTACATTTTGAACCCAAATACCTGTACTTTCTACTTCTTACATGTTGAACACAAATACCTGTACTTTCTACTTCTTACATGTTGAACCCAAATACCTGTACTTTCTACTTCTTACATGTTGAACACAAATACCTGTACTTTCTACTTCTTACATTTTGAACCCAAATACCTGTACTTTCTACTTCTTACATGTTGAACACAAATACCTGTACTTTCTACTTCTTACATGTTGAACACAAATACCTGTACTTTCTACTTCTTACATGTTGAACACAAAGACCTGTACTTTCTACTTCTTACATGTTGAACACAAATACCTGTACTTTCTACTTCTTACATGTTGAACCCAAATACCTGTACTTTCTACTTCTTACATGTTGAACACAAATACCTGTACTTTCTACTTCTTACATTTTGAACCCAAATACCTGTACTTTCTACTTCTTACATGTTGAACACAAATACCTGTACTTTCTACTTCTTACATGTTGAACACAAATACCTGTACTTTCTACTTCTTACATGTTGAACACAAATACCTGTACTTTCTACTTCTTCCATTTTCCAAACAGGCTGGTTCCTTTAGTTTGAATGTGTGTTTGGTGGCGTGATCATTATTATTTAGAGTCATTGCGTGCCTATTGATTTGAACACGATCCGTGTATCCATCATTTCCTGGTCTTCTCTAAAGAAGAGGGACCAATGAAAACGTTGTCATGTTGCCGTTGTTCAGCATGGAAACATTCATTAGCTAACAATGACATTATTGTTCTATTAATATAAAGGGAGGTCAGGTACTCTTTAAAACAGCTGCTAGTTATGGGTACTTTTTACTGAAGTACATTTCAAAGCCCTCTTTACTTTGACTTGAGTAAAGAAGTTTAGTCAGTACTTCTACTTTTACCAGAGTATTTTAAACACGAGTATCTGTACTTCTACTTGAGTAAAGGATGTGTGTACTTTAACATCTCTGATTATATTCTATTTACTTGTATATAGACTCTTCTTGCACTATTTTATTTGTATTTACTTGCACATGTCAAAACATTCTCTTGCACTATTTTATCAGTTTTATTTGTTCTATGTCCTATATATATTCATGTTGCTCTGTTGGAGGAGCTTTAAGATGTAGGTGTACATGGTGGTGTGATTCTCCTTGCTACAGAATATAATTAATGAGTAACTTCTTTATCAGGATATTAAATGCAATAAAAGCAGATTCCCTCACCTCCATGTGACCAAACGTCTGCACCAGTGGGATGACCTCCAAGCCTTTGGACTTAGCAAACTCCTGCATGGATAACACCTCCTCTCGGCTGGAGAAACAGAGCAAACAGTAAACAGAGCTTAACTTTTTCACTATTCAACAAACAGATGTGTATGCTTTGAACATATTGTTAGAAAAACGTCACTGGTCCCTGGCTTGAGCTTCAATCTCAGGATCCATGTATTTGTGATCCTCTCCAGAATGGAAGTAGTCCTCACATACAGAGCATCAACTAGTTCCTGAACAGTGTCCTTCACATGCTGATATCCAAGAGAGGGAGTTACACAGTCACAAGATGGAGGAATAGAAAGCAGTGTTCAATGTTTACTTCAGATTAGCTCCACGTCAGAAATGAGCATGCTTGTCATATGTCTATCTCCATAGAGGCTGAATCATCATGTTAATCACATAGCTATCATATGCCTCAAACAGTCCTGATGCTCTTCTAGGTAATCATACATCCTGTCATGTACACAGCTACAGTTGGGATACCTTTGTTATCATGTTACTCTCATATTGGAAGAGGACATTCAGTGTTTTCACAACACATATAAAAAGGCATAATCGTGCAGGTGAAATGCAGGAAGGATTCTAATGTTATTACAGGATGTGGTTGCATGATAAAACAGATATAAAACCCCACATCTACCTGTAAGCAGGGTGCTGTGTGGCCTGCAGCAGCTTCAGATCCCCCTCATAGGGAAACATGTCTTCATACTCCACCAGCAGACCATCCGCCCCCAGCTGGGAGAACAGCTCTATCAGCTGGGAAAAGGGAAATTAAAGTGTATACAAGCTGTAAATATCTATGTATTCAATAGGGAATCTAGCTGTGTGCTCACCTTGTGCAGGTATCCTACTCTTGGAGGGGCTCCTTTCAGATCCAAGTGTACTAGTTTCTTCCCTTTGGGCCATGGTGGATTATTCATTCCTCCTGCAAGAATAAAGCATATTAAGAACAGTACAGGTGTGTTTATGCGTGTGCATGTACTCGTTTGACTCACCTGGATAACAGAGGACATGTAAGGAGGATGTTGTTGTTGTTTTGAGGCACTTTTCTGCAGAAACGCCTCGGTAATCGATTAGTTTAGTCTCCCTGTGAAGAGCAATGGATGGTAGAATGCACGTAAGGAGTTATAGGTTTATGTATTTTAGCTCATAATAGTAAAAACACTGTTAATATATAGATCTGTTGTTGCATGGATCGTGTGTTTTTGCAGATGTGCGCCGTGTTTGAAGCCAGTTGGTCGTGTGTAGTGTTGCGTTCAAGGACGATCCAATTCTTCTGAACGGGTCTTTTTAACATGAAGACTTGCACTGTGTGACTGTGAGAGCTGTATTTTTATTGTTGTACCCTAATTACACTGCCAATTATTATTTCCATATATTTATTTGAACGCCTTGTCAAATGGTACTGAAAAAATATACTGAATTTGTACATCTCAACAAATTAACCGTATATTTTGAACTTTCTCTCGGTTAACAAAGGATCAATAACAACCGGATCGCTCAGAAGAGACGAAATCCCCATCAAGATGATGTGGTCCAATAAAAACGTTGCTTTCCTTTCCAGAGAGCCAATCACCCGGCGGTTACGCGTCAACCCGGAAGTGGCGAAGGAGGGAGATTCATGTCTGTGGAGCTACATGCCGTTAGCGTCTCTGCTCGGTTTGTTGTCTTATAAACAAGACATTTGGTTTATGACGGTGTTTCTGTGAAGGGTTGCATCAACATGGCTCTGCTGCGGATGAGGGCTCCACAGGGGGCCAATGCCACGGAGATAGAGAAGAAAATCAAGAGGTGAGTAAATACAACGAGGAGAAGAGAGGGAGGGCCAGCTGCTGTCAACATGTCCTCAAAACACCTCAGAAACACTGACAGTAGGGTCTAAATGAAACTGTATTTATACATGTGAATGCAGTCTTCAGACAGAAGGAAGTTGCATGCATGCTGATGGTTCATTTGTGCTTTAATTTTGAGTTAATGGCGTTTATTTGCAATTTAGTCAATGCTACTAACACAGGTCACATTTTCCTGAGAGTGATATGCAGGACGGAAAATGACTCCACCTTAATTAAAACATGGTTGGTTGTTACCAAATTAAGTAATACACTTTTCATAAAAGGCTGAAATAAATAGATTGAATTAGTTGATGCATAAATAAAGTCAAATCATGGGACATACATACTTGCATGTTTTGATTTACATTCCTTATTTCTATGCATTTACTTTTATACGCCTATTGAGTATGTGTTTTTGTATTTTTGTGGTTTAAAAGTAATTTAAAATAAGAGGAAAACATTGTTTTATGATGTGTTCACAGAAAAATAGTCAGCTCAAAATCTACGTCCGAATATTTCGTTTTTATTAGATTTTTTGTTTATTTCTTTTCATTGCGAACTTTTATTTTAACTGCTGATTTTTATTAACGTATTTTATCGTAAATTGGAGCAAAGTATTGTGATCTGATTGTGAATCTGAGTCTCCTCTTTTGTTCAGGGGCAATGCTCTGCGTCAGGGTTCTGCATGGCGAGGGTTTCTTGGTTCTCGCTGGTTCCTGGTTCTGCTGCTGGTGGTGGTTCTGATGAGCGGGGGGGGCGATGTGGATCTACCTCTCTCTGGACAGCGAGGTCACAGAAACACTCGTCAGCCGAGGGGAGCTCGTCTCTCCTCATCCAAGGATCTACAGCGTGCCCTGCTCCGAGGACTACAACAACCACAAACGATACCCAGGTGAGAACTACACACAGTAGGGGTGAGAACTACAAATGTTAGCCAGTGAGAACTACAAACAGTACCCAGGTTAGATATGCAAATGATAGCCAGGTGAGAACTACAAACAATATATATGTGAGAACTACAACGATATCCATGTTAGAACTACAAAATGTATCCATGTGAAAACTACAAACGATATCAATGTAAGAACTACAAACAGTATCCATGTTGGAACTACAAACAGTAGAGGTAAGAATTACAAACAGTATCCAGGTAAGAACTACAAACAGTAGAGGTAAGAACTACAAACGATAGCCAGGTGAGAACCACAAACATTATCCAAGTTAGAACTACAAATTATATCCATGTGAGAACTACAAATTATATCAAGGCTGGAACTACAAACCGTATCTATGCGAGAACTGCAAACGACATCAAGGTGAGAACTGATGAGTGTTCATGTTATTAAACCTAGGTGTTGTTAAAAGTTGTAGGGTTTTAGTTAACTGCTAACCTTTCATCAGCACTTGTCCATGTTAAATGTCTCTTGTTGGACTCGTAGTGCCTACAGACAGCAGGGCCTGTGACTACCCAATTTGCACTGCGCAGCGCGAGTTGATCCTCCATATTGTTCAGCTACGTACGGCAACCCAAGTGGGACATTTGACACAGCAGCGTTTTGCAAAGAAGAAAAAAAAAAAAAAAAACGCATTAATCTGAACGAGAGCGATGAGTTATTGTTTTTACAACGTAATTCCCAGATTATTTAAGAATAAATCCTTTTAGTGGGTTAAGGTCATTCTTAGAATAAGTGAAGAATGGTTAACTTTAGTTTGAAAGCCTTCACAGTGGAAAAACAAGAAACTGTAAATGTATGCAATCATTTATGGCATTCATAATAATATCTAATTCTTAACTGTGAATTGTTTTAATTTAACATTACAAATGTATTAGTCTGGACCATAGACTGTATATATAAACAAACCTTTTCTGTTGAGATTCCTGTAAAAGGGAAATTACTTTTCATAAAAAAAGTTGATTCAAGAACAAAACTCTGTTATTAGATCAGTACGGACGTCAAATGTCCTATTTGGGTTGCCGTACGTAGCTGTCCAACATGGAGGAACAACTCGTGCTTGTGCAAATTGGGCAGTCACAGGGCCTATAATTTTGAGGCATTAATGATCAGAACTCCACTTCTTCTTCCTGTGAAACAGAGGATCCTGCACGTAGTCTTTCTGTTATTAAGCGTCTCCTCTCCTGCAGGATGCACCCCTCAGAAGTGTGGTCGGGCCGTCACAGACAGCATTGTGACCCGGGAGGAGGCTGAGACGCTCAAGAGGTAAATCAACACTTTTATATTCAACAGAAAAAGCTTCTCTGTCCCGCTGTGCGACCTTTTTGAGTCACTTTCTGTCTTTTACACTCAGGCTGGCTGAGAGAGGGCTGGCTCTCGCTGGATCAGAGGGAGGAGTGAGTATAAACCCAAATTAAATGGTCAAAATAATCTGTATTTGGTTGATTCTAGTCATGATCTTTTTGATAATTTGCCTTCCCCCGTACATTAATTTTTAGGATACAAATGGTTGGTTTTGTAAGTTATTATCTGACCTTTTTACAAACAATACCATCAATTAAAGACACATACTCATCAACAAATATACTGTGCAGCCTCAATAAAGTAATTCACTAAATATTAGATGCTGAAAAACACTCCTATTATACCACCATCATCATTATTATTATTTTAAATAAACTCTTAATTAATTTAAAGGGGAGAAAGTCACATTTTGTTCAATAATGTTCTTTCTACAGCAGTGTGAAGCAGTGTCCACTAGATGGCGCTATCGCACACATTATAAAAAACCTATATTTAAACCTTTATATATACAGTCTATGATTTAAACACAGAGTATTTAATGTCATTTAATTAACTAGTGTTGTGAGATTACAGAATAAGAAAAGGGAATATTTTATATATCAATTAGTACCGTTATTAAATGTAATATTGCCACCAGTATCGACTTGAACCCACATTTGCAAAACAGCAATAATTGCGTGAAATTAAAAGTGTTACATTAATAATTAAATGCAAAAAGGAAAACAAAATGAAAATAAATAAAAAAATATATAAAATAAAGTGAGGCTGGAGCCCAGTCTATATATATTATTTTCCTCCAAAACAATGAATCAAAAATCTTAAAAATAACCTATTAATGAATACATTTCTCATACAAATATATCAAATGTAATTGTCATTTTCACTTATTCCTGGTTCCATCTTTTTGTCCCTTGCAGGCCTCCATACTGGACCTGCACTCTGGAGCTCTGTCGATGGGCAAACAGTTTGTGAACATCTACAGGTGGGACACGCATTAAATTAACTTTCTCTCCTCCTTATATCTCCTGTTGTTCATGCCTGCTGCTGATGTTCAGATGTATATCAGTATGTAGTGTCTCTACTTTAAAGAGTCCTCTCCTGCTGATGTTCAGCTGTATATCAGTATGTAGTGTCTCTACTTTAAAGAGTCCTCTCCTGCTGATGTTCAGGTGTATATCAGTATGTAGTGTCTCTACTTTAAAGAGTCCTCTCCTGCTGATGTTCAGGTGTATATCAGTATGTAGTGTCTCTACTTTAAAGAGTCCTCTCCTGCTGATGTTCAGGTGTATATCAGTATGTAGTGTCTCTACTTTAAAGAGTCCTCTCCTGCTGATGTTCAGGTGTATATCAGTATGTAGTGTCTCTACTTTAAAGAGTCCTCTCCTGCTGATGTTCAGGTGTATATCAGTATGTAGTGTCTCTACTTTAAAGAGTCCTCTCCTGCTGATGTTCAGGTGTATATCAGTATGTAGTTTCTCTACTTTAAAGAGTCCTCTCCTGCTGATGTTCAGGTGTATATCAGTATGTAGTGTCTCTACTTTACTTTAAAGAGTCCTCTCCTGCTGATGTTCAGGTGTATATCAGTATGTAGTGTCTCTACTTTAAAGAGTCCTCTCCTGCTGATGTTCAGGTGTATATCAGTATGTAGTGTCTCTACTTTAAAGAGTCCTCTCCTGCTGATGTTCAGGTGTATATCAGTATGTAGTGTCTCTACTTTAAAGAGTCCTCTCCTGCTGATGTTCAGGTGTATATCAGTATGTAGTGTCTCTACTTTAAAGAGTCCTCTCCAGCTGATGTTCAGGTGTATATCAGTATGTAGTGTCTCTACTTTAAAGAGTCCTCTCCTGCTGATGTTCAGGTGTATATCATAATGTAGTGTCTCTACTTTAAAGAGTCCTCTCCTGCTGATGTTCAGGTGTATATCAGTATGTAGTGTCTCTACTTTAAAGAGTCCTCTCCTGCTGATGTTCAGGTGTATATCAGTATGTAGTGTCTCTACTTTAAAGAGTCCTCTCCTGCTGAAGTTCAGGTGTATATCAGTATGTAGTGTCTCTACTTTAAAGAGTCCTCTCCTGCTGATGTTCAGGTGTATATCAGTATGTAGTGTCTCTACTTTAAAGAGTCCTCTCCTGCTGATGTTCAGGTGTATATCAGTATGTAGTGTCTCTACTTTAAAGAGTCCTCTCCTGCTGAAGTTCAGGTGTATATCAGTATGTAGTGTCTCTACTTTAAAGAGTCCTCTCCTGCTGAAGTTCAGGTGTATATCAGTATGTAGTGTCTCTACTTTAAAGAGTCCTCTCCTGCTGAAGTTCAGGTGTATATCAGGATGACAGCCAGCATGATACGTGACATTTAGAGAAATACAGAAAGATTTATTCAGTGAAATATCATCATCAATCTTCCTCATGCTGTTCTCCCAGAGTCCAGTGACCCACACGACCCTCATCCCTCCGTCATTCATCACTGCCAGCTGCTGTTTCCCTCCCTCCTTCAAACATCTCCCCCCTTTTCTCCCTTTTCTCCCTTGTCATACAGCATGATAAGATACTACTATGGCATTGCATCAGTTCCATCTGCAGCTTCAACACAGAGAAATATATGAAACAAGAGACAGGGAAACAGATATTTAACATAAGAGAGGCGGCGTAGGTAATCAGGTATATTGAGGTAAAAGTAGCAATACTAAATTTAAAAGTATTGGGATCGATAACACTGGTATCGTACAGCACTGAGACACGGATTTGACGGCAGCATAATGTCAGAGTTATGAGAAACATTCAATCGACGGATGAATTTGTACATCAGATTTCTCAAGAGAGCATGGAACATGTTGACTCGTGCTTTACAAAACATTTCACTTGCACTGCACCACCTTGGTTTTCTAAGCAGTATACGCAAACAATCATTATAAGCGACCTGGAGCTTCTGGAGGCTCGCCTTGTTAAACTTGAGCCACAAGGGGGCAGTATAGAGAGGGGTACTATAGAGAGGCGAAGTCCCTCCCCTTCCGGTGGGACTCATGGGACCTTATTTCGGAAAAATGATGTATTGAAGTCAATGGAGAGAGAAAGATTATCATTCGATCCCGTTTGAATTGTGCCACGAATTACATATGATGTTTGTCAATCTTAAAAAATCATTTCCATGTCAAAAAAGTCACAGTTTGTCGTAAAACTGTTGAAATATAAGACTATGAAAAATACGCAACTAGAAAGACTACAAATCCCAGCATCCCGGTCCCGCATGCTGGCTCTTAGGAACCGACTAACTCCCCTTGTGTGTATGTACAGCTCTCAACATGCCCAGACTTGTAGTGATTTTCACCTCTTTTAATACTTTCCGCCTCATTCTGAAAGAAAGAAGTGAAATGTGCCAACGTGACCGCCGTCTTGGTGTGTGGTGCGAGACGGGAGATGTAGTTCATTGAGCGGTTTCACACAAACAAAGTGTTACTTCACAGTTTTACGACACATTTTTATTTTTTTGACTTGCAAAATTATCTTTTAAATTGACAAACATCATATGTGTAATTCGTGGCACAATTCAAACGGGATCAAAAGATAATCTTTCTCTCTCCATTGACTTCAATGCATACTTTTTACGAAATAAGGTCCCATGGAGGAAAGGGGTGGACTTCGCCTCTCTATAAGCTCTCAAGAGGTTCACCTTAACCTTATCTGAACACCAAGAGAATGTTCTAGCCAACATGTTAGCTTGTGTATAAGACACGCCGCTGTCTATGCATGTCATCATCATCATCAGCCATTTCACCTGTGAAGATGTGTCCCAGATTCTTAGTGTTACAGAAAGCACCTGTTACTCGTTTTCATATTTGTATACATTCAATTACTGGAGTTTGATTATTGATGCATCGATGTGTCACAGGTGATAACGTTGGAGCTCATTCTAATGTCTGTGCTCACTGCTGCAGGTATTTTGGGGAACAGATCGGGGAGGTGTTCACAGAGGAGGATTTCCAGCTGTACAAGTGAGTACAGAATCTTAAAGAAGGGGTTTTTAGTGCATGTAAACGGTCTGCAAAGGCTCAAATCCCTGTGTTTGCAAATACATACAAATATTTCCTTAACGTCTGTTATCCGTCACAGCAAACTCTGTGTCTTAACCTTTGTGAAAATGGCACTTAGTTCACAATAACCGCAAACATTATGTCTTATTTGAAGCATTAAGGGGCCAGGCGTCACTCTTTAGTGTCCCCTGGTCTCCCAGCTGCGTGCGTCACTCTTTATTGTCCCCTGGTCTCCCAGCTGTGTGCGTCACTCTTTAGTGTCCCCTGGTCTCCCAGCTGCATGCGTCACTCTTTAGTGTCCCCTGGTCTCCCAGCTGCGTGCGTCACTCTTTAGTGTCCCCTGGTCTCCCAGCTGCGTGCGTCACTCTTTAGTGTCCCCTGGTCTCCCAGCTGCGTGCGTCACTCTTTAGTGTCCCCTGGTCTCCCAGCTGTTTGCGTCACTATTTAGTGTCCCCTGGTCTCCCAGCTGTGTGCGTCACTCTTTAGTGTCCCCTGGTCTCCCAGCTGTTTGCGTCACTCTTTAGTGTCCCCTGGTCTCCCAGCTGTTTGCGTCACTATTTAGTGTCCCCTGGTCTCCCAGCTACGTGCGTCACTCTTTAGTGTCCCCAAAATAAAAAGTAGTTCAATAAGTCTATATACATGTCAATAGAATATGATCTGTACAAGTTCCAAACTATTAACTGACAGCAGTGAAAGTCCTTTCATTTCTCATTAACTAAAAGCTATTGAAGTGCAGTTTAAATCATCCTTTTATTAAACTTTTTTGACATCGTTTTTCCAGAGACGTGCGTGTGCGGATCCAGGCGGTGATTGCAGAGACGTTTGGTTTGGACCCGGCTCTGATGTACCTCACTAAGCCCACCTTCTTCTCCAGAATCAACAGCACCATCGCCCAGACCCAACACGACGAGTACTGGCACCCGCACATCGACAAGGTGACGAGAAATACAATAAAAAGCACACTTCTACGCTGCAGCACAGGCAGTATGAGAAAAATAAAGAGTTTTTGAACATTTATTGAACATCAGCAGGAGAGGACTCTTTAAAGTAGAGACACTACATACTGATATACACCTGAACATCAGCAGGAGAGGACTCTTTAAAGTAGAGACACTACATACTGATATACACCTGGACATCAGCAGGAGAGGACTCTTTAAAGTAGAGACACTACTTACTGATATACACCTGAACATCAGCAGGAGAGAACTCTTTAAAGTAGAGACACTACTTACTGATATACACCTGAACATCAGCAGGAGAGGACTCTTTAAAGTAGAGACACTACTTACTGATATACACCTGAACATCAGCAGGAGAGGACTCTTTAAAGTAGAGACACTACTTACTGATATGTCCTCTTTAAAATGCAGATTTTTGTATTTAGCAAAGAATGGTTTAATTGTACGTTTCCTTTCTGGATCCCAAAATAGTGTTGGAATTGCATAAATTGGGTCTAATTGGAAAGCTTAGACTCTAGTGGATCCAATGAGCCCAGTTGAGTTTATGCGTGATGATGTAAATTCCTCTAATTAGCCGCTAATTGCACTGCGACCAACTTTGAAACTTGTTTTCGCTGAATAAAATGGCACTGCAGAAGTTTAGCTGAAGCAAGAAACAGCTTCTCTTCAATCATTTCTTTGAGTAAGTTGTATTCCCCTTTAAGGCAGATCCTTAATTTCCTGCAGCCCCTCTGTTGTGTTCATGCATACATAGTGAATATAATACGAAAGTTATAAATATTCATGCAGCTTTACTCACTCCCTGCTTTGCTCTTTGTTCGTTGTCGGGACGTTGGAGTTGCTCTGGGATCGAGAGAAGACCCCGAGGCGAGTTTTAAACACATGGGAATTCAGTGAGAAAGTTTTTAATACTTGTTTAGTTAAAAGTGAAGAAATATAAAGGTGGATACATCCTCAACTGATAGAGACTGGGGTTAGTGGGATACTGGGAATGTATTTAACTTCATTACGAGAAGCTGGAGAAACCTACTGCAGCAGGAAGTACCACAGCAGACAATTACAAAATATATTTGTAGACAGATTTTTATAACGCGATAGCATGGCAAATGTGCAGTGTGGCTGTGTGCGTCACTCTTTAGTGTCCCCTGGTTTCCAGCTGTGTGCGTCACTCTTTAGTGTCCCCTGGTCTCCCAGCTGTGTGCGTCACTCTTTAGTGTCCCCTGGTCTCCCAGCTGTGTGCGTCACTTTTTAGTGTCCCCTGGTCTCCCAGCTGTGTGCGTCACTCTTTAGTGTCCCCTGGTCTCCCAGCTGTGTGCGTCACTTTTTAGTGTCCCCTGGTTTCCAGCTGTGTGCGTCACTGTTTAGTGTCCTCTGGTCTCCCAGCTGTGTGCGTCACTCTTTAGTGTCCCCTGGTCTCCCAGCTGTGTGCGTCACTCTTTAGTGTCCCCTGGTCTCCCAGCTGTGTGCGTCACTTTTTAGTGTCCCCTGGTCTCCCAGCTGTGTGCGTCGCTTTTTAGTGTCCCCTGGTCTCCCAGTTGTGTGCGTCGCTTTTTAGTGTCCCCTGGTCTCCCAGCTGTGTGCGTCGCTCTTTAGTGTCCCCTGGTCTCCCAGCTGTGTGCGTCGCTCTTTAGTGTCCCCTGGTCTCCCAGCTGTGTGCGTCGCTCTTTAGTGTCCCCTGGTCTCCCAGCTGTGTGCGTCGCTCTTTAGTGTCCCCTGGTCTCCCAGCTGTGTGCGTCGCTCTTTAGTGTCCCCTGGTCTCCCAGCTGTGTGCGTCACTCTTTAGTGTCCCCTGGTCTCCAGCTGTGTGCGTCACTCTTTAGTGTCCCCTGGTCTCCCAGCTGTGTGCGTCACTCTTTAGTGTCCCCTGGTCTCCCAGCTGTGTGCGCGTCACTCTTTAGTGTCCCCTGGTCTCCCAGCTGTGTGCGTCACTCTTTAGTGTCCCCTGGTCTCCAGCTGTGTGCGTCACTCTTTAGTGTCCCCTGGTCTCCAGCTGTGTGCGTCACTCTTTAGTGTCCCCTGGTCTCCCAGCTGTGTGCGTCACTCTTTAGTGTCCCCTGGTCTCCCAGCTGTGTGCGTCACTCTTTAGTGTCCCCTGGTCTCCAGCTGTGTGCGTCACTCTTTAGTGTCCCCTGGTCTCCAGCTGTGTGCGTCACTCTTTAGTGTCCCCTGGTCTCCCAGCTGTGTGCGTCACTCTTTAGTGTTCCCTGGTCTCCGTTGTGTTTTGAGCTTCTTGCAGCGTTTGGTTTCTGCAGCTTTTAGTAAACACCGCGCATGTTTTTTCAAGTTGCTGAAGATGTTTCTTCATGTGGAACCTTTGGGTTTTTATATCTGCAAGAGTTTTGGGTTGTTGTACTCTTTAAATCCATGATTACTTTTTTCAAAAGCTGGTGTTCATACAGTATTTCCATCAGCAGCAAGAGAGGCAGAAGTCTGCAAAGAAAAAACATTTGACATCGGCACATTTATTTCCCTGCCGTTAATGAGATGAAAACACGGTGACATCGCATCAGGAATATGATCGATGAGGAGAGACGTCAGAGGACATTTACATTTAAATGAGGGTTGGGTTCGCCAATTAGCTCCAAAGATGGCGTTGCAGACAGATGGAGGAAGAGAGGAGGGTCCTTCCAGAGTATATTCTCCCAGCTGTCGAGGGGATGAGGTGGAGAGGAATACTCCATGGGAAGCAGAGTCAACGTGGACTCTAGATGTAGGCAGACGCTGATACAGTTTTATGAATGGTGCTAATAAATAACATCCCAGTCCTTTTTTATTAATGGTTTTTAAGCATGAAATGACGTCGCCACATGTTCAGGCTTGTACATACTTTTAATTGATGATACCATTTGGGATTTGCGTCCGTTTGGAGTTCAACTCATGCATGAAATGAAGTTTAAAATGTACAAACTTTACAAATATCTCTATTTGCTAAGAAGAGGAGACAAAACATTATAAGGAGATTGGGAGAAAGACATTAGGGGATCTTTTTCGCTCGACTAAATTGACTAAACTCTTGTCGGGGAAAGAAACTCTTGAGGGAACACCTCTTTTTAGACTTTGCAGATCATTGACATGCACTAAAATCTATATAACACACTAAAGGAAAGGGAAAACTCCAAAAACGTAGTTACGTCTGTCTATTGAAGTTCATTTGTGAAGATTATCGGGCTGAAAAAGATGTGTAGTATCATAAAAGTTTGCTGTTTTATAAAATAATCCCATTGGGCTTTGTCAACACAATGGTAAGATCTGGTTTGGCCAAAAAAATATACACTCATGCTAACGTGCTAAACTAAGATAGAGAACTTAGCCTTAAAGGAGACCTATCATGCAAAATGCACTTTTTGATGTCTTTATGTGTCCCTGGTGTGTCAGGGAACTCACGCAGCGTCAGAAAATAAAACCCTCTCTCTTTTCCTCCGTACCCAAATCTCTAAAAACGGGGGAACAACGGAGCTGATCCAGATTTGCGTCCGATATGACGTAATATCTGAAATGTGGACCCACGGCCCTATCAGAAACGTTGCTATCAGAAACAATGCCCGACTGTTTTGGACGTAATATGGTCTGTGTTTACATTAGCATCGCTAACACTCAGAGCTAACCTGTACTGGAGAGCATGTGTGTGAAGAAGCAGGAAATAAAAAGGAACTCACCTTGTGGTATAACCGGCAAGAGAGAAAGCCTTTGAGCTCCATACTGTTTCAGAAAGAATCCTTGATAATCCATGATATGGCGTTTCATCACGGCAGCATTTAGTTTAGACAGTAGCTGCCGGGTCCCGCATGAGCAGGCATAAGCCCCGCCCCCCTTTTTATCAATTTGTTTTTTCAGCACTTTTGAAACAGGAAGTGAAATAGAGGGATATGAGGCATGGCTAGAATGGGTGATCTGTTTGGTATTTTGAGCAAAACACTTCATAGACATGTTTTTTATATATTTGTATATATCTGAGACCTATGCTATTGCCTAAAAATAGCATGATAGGTGACCTTTAAGGTGGGAAAACAGCATTTTAAAGGTCACGTATTGTGCAAAATCCACTTTTGTATGTCTTATATACTGTATATTATTATGCATTGCAACATATCTGTTTATTAATCAGTCTCAAAACACGAATTTGTGTATAAATAAGTACTAAAACCGTCCTCCAGGGAACCCCAACTTGATTTAGGTTTCATATCTCGTCACCACAGTAGAGTTCACAGGTCCGTATATCACCTCTGGATGTTATGAGCTTCTCGTTAGTGCAGAAGCTATATTTAATCCGTCCCTCAGGTGTTGTGAGGGAGCGTTTCAGGTGAGGAGTCAGCAGAGCCTGTTAACAATTCTCGTTCCAACAAGAAACCCTGACTGTAAACGAGTCTGAGACGCTGCAGAGTGAGAAGATAAAACAAGCGTTGCAGCCTGTGTGTTTTTAACAGATGCTGCTTCACATACAGTATACATAACAACACCTCCAGGCATCCCCATGCAGCTCTGCACAAGCTTTCAGGTGCTGGGTTTCTTCTCACTGAATATATTTAGGGAAACAGATTGTCGCTGAGCACAACAGTGTTAATTGTCAATGGAAATGATGACTAAAAAAACAACCTTTTTTCCATGACTAAGACAAGACGTCACTAAACACTGACTGTGAATATATCAACATGCAACAAAGACCAGACTAAAATGAAGTTTAAGAAATACAAACTTTACAAAAACTCAATATTTTTAAGAAAAGGAGACGAGCATTACAAGGAGATTCTGAGGAAGACATTAGGGGATGTTTTGGCTTGACTTAAACTCTGCAGGGAACACGGGGATGTTAGCCTTTGCAGACCGTTTACATGCACTAAAACCTATATAACTCACTACAGGAGAGCAGAAACTCCAGAAACCACAATGGGGCTTCTTTAAACGTAATTTATTCTGTCAATTGATGTTCATTTGTGACGATGATCCTGTAGAAAAAGATGTGTAGAATCAGAATTTGACTTGATGTCGTGGTGCATACAAAAAAATAAAACAAACATTTTAAACACAGATAGAAAACTATTTGAAGAAACTATAATAACATTACACAATATATAGCAGTATTTACATTGAATATGATTGAAAGCGTAGAAATATATAATTACAATAAAATATGTGCAGTAATGAAAAACTAAATAATTGTAAACATTGTAATGCATAGGGTCTATAAACGTTTGCTGTTTTATAAAATAATCCCATTGGCTTTGTCAACACAATGGTGACTTCTGGTTTGGCCTAACAATGATACACTCGTGCTAACGTGCAAAACTAAGATAGTGAATTTAGCACATATACCTGTGTGGTGACTATTGCCACTCAATATCACCTGGGATTGACTAAACTGGGTTGAACTAATTGGACGCGTGTAATCTCCATGTACGACAAAGTTTAGCTTTCAATATCTGACACGATAGACACGCGTCCAATTAGTTAAACCCAGTTTAGTCAATCCCAGGTGATATTGAGTGGCAATAGTCACCACATTTAAGTCAAAAAACGTTTGCTCTCCCAGTCGCAATCAATACACCTGTGCCAGGAGACCAGTGTGGGGGAAACTTCTGAAGTAATTGGAGTCAGGACTCAGAGACACGAGGAGAGCTGGAGCTTTGATGGAGTCAGGACTCAGAGAGACACGAGGAGAGCTGGAGCTTTGATGGAGTCAGGACTCAGAGAGACACGAGGAGAGTTGGAGCTTTGATGGAGTCAGGACTCCGAGAGACACGAGGAGAGCTGGAGCTTTGATGGAGTCAGGACTCAGAGAGACACGAGGAGAGCTGGAGCTTTGATGGAGTCAGGACTCAGAGAGACACGAGGAGAGCTGGAGCTTTGATGGAGTCAGGACTCAGAGAGACACGAGGAGAGCTGGAGCTTTGATAGAGTCAGGACTCAGAGAGACACGAGGAGAGCTGGAGCTTTGATGGAGTCAGGACTCAGAGAGACACGAGGAGAGCTGGAGCTTTGATGGAGTCAGGACTCAAAGAGACACGAGGAGAGCTGGAGCTTTGATGGAGTCAGGACTCAGAGAGAGACACGAGGAGAGCTGGAGCTTTGATGGAGTCAGGACTCAGAGAGACACGAGGAGAGCCGGAGCTTTGATGGAGACAGGACTCAAAGAGAGACACGAGGAGAGCTGGAGCTTTGATGGAGTCAGGACTCAGAGAGACACGAGGAGAGCTGGAGCTTTGATGGAGTCAGGACTCAGAGAGACACGAGGAGAGCTGGAGCTTTGATGGAGTCAGGACTCAGAGAGACACGAGGAGAGCTGGAGCTTTGATGGCAAACACAGACTGTTTATTTGGAGCTTCGGCCGGAGAATTCACACAACATGTCACGGGCCACGATCTGACCACACGGTTGAGATGCCACAATCAATTCTGAAGACCCCTCCTGTAGCTCCAGGTTTTATCTAGTTCAGAGTGTAATAATCAACATTCTTCAATAGATAGACTAAACAGCTGAGGACACTGAATCACATTTGTTGTCGCTTATGGCTCGGGGTCATCTACACCCCGAGAAGGATGTGTTCCAGGTGTCCCACAACAATAACTATCTCTGACCGAGAGCTGCCCGGTCACAAACTGGTAACAACAACAACTTGCTAGGGCAGCCCCTCCTTAAGGGAGATAGCGGCTGCTCAAGGCTGGTCATCTGCGTCAGACGGCGAAAGGTCAACATGTATACAGAATTATTCCCTGACAACCAGTTATATGCTGTTGCCCCATTACGCCATCTAGTGTTCAAATACCAAAACGTATAAACCATTCTAATGGGTGCAACAACCTGTTTAACTTCAGCATGTGAGACTAATGTCTTCCTCTCTCTGTCTGCCAGGTGACGTACGGCTCGTTCGACTACACCTCACTCCTCTATCTGTCCGACTACGGCTCTGACTTCTCCGGAGGAAGATTCATCTTCATGGATCCTAATGGCAACCGGACCGTGGAGCCACGAGCAGGTAACCGTTAAATATAGTAAATCCAGTCACTAGTCATCAGTAGGAACACCCTGGCTTTGTCTGGTAATCCTCTGAACCCACACTTAGTAGGTTAAGTCAGAGAGATAAGGGGTTTTATTATACTTAGAGTTATAATTGCTGCTTCAATAATCCAGAGGTTTTACTGCGTGTGAGAAGAGGATTAGGCTTTATCCGGCATTTAGTACCTGTGGGGTTTGACTTAAACGCATCGTGATCTCAAAGGAAATACAGTGGAGTGTGTATGTATAGAATTGAAAGAGAATATAGGTAAGTTAATGGATATTTTAAGCCTTTCTTTGCAAATCCCACATGGCAAAATAACCTTTACAAGGAGTGATTTTCCCTGGAGTACGATTGGACTTGGATCTATTTTCAGCTTCTTTTGCTCTTCTGTTTTGACTGATTTCTCCTTTTCTTTGTACACTTTCACCCTTCGCTTAATTTATCACCTTAACAATGTTTCGGATCAACATTGAAAGGTCATGAAAGGAATCTTGTCGACTTGCAGGAAGTTGAGAGGAATTGAAACGAGGGCCAACAGTTTTGTGTGTTTCAAGTCAATGTTATTTATCTACTGTAGATCATAAATGTGTCTTAAGGGGCTTTGTTGTCTGTACATCATCAAAACCCTCTATCTTGAGATGCCAAATTCAAGACGGGGAGTAGACAGAAGTTGGAGGAGTTGTTGGCAAACTACTTTTCCTGGTAAAATAGCTAAAACAACACAATAGACTACATCTTTTACACAGTATTTGGCGCGTTTCCACTACACGGCCTCACTCGGTATGGCTAGGCCTCGTTAGGACTGGCTCACTTTATGGCGCATTTCCATTACAGTTTATGAACTGGGGTAGTAACTATAGTAACGCAGTGTAGGCGGAGCCGTGACGTCATCTTCAATGAGAACCCCAGAAAAACAACACAGCCGTTAGCTGTTAGCACTCAGAGCTCACAGCTCCTCATATCTGTTCAGAAACTAGACAAAAGTTAAACAAGTACAAACCACAGACTGTCTGTGTCATGGTGAATACAGTCGCTGCTTTATTTATGTCTGTATAGGCCGTTGTTGTGAGTGTGGACGGTCGGAGCATATACTGCGTTAGCTTAGCCAATCTCCATTTAGAAAACAAGCATTTTAAAAGGTTTTTCCCCTGCCGTTTGTCTGCAGACTTGACAAAGCATTAATTCATGGTTTTTACTAACCGGTATCAGTATGTTGTTACTTCGGCATCATTTTGAAACGTGTATTACAATTAAATCACGGTCAAATATATCCATCTTGTTGTAGTTGTAGCCCCCTTGCCAGCGATGCTCTCTCTAGTTTAGCATACTCAGCCCGACTCAGCCTCGTTGTCTCTGGCCCTGGACCCACGATTTTATGAGGCCAGAAAAACTGTGAATTAGGACCCGCCGGCCGGTACTAGGCCAAGTGGAAACGCAACCAAAGACGGGCCGCTGACGTCACAGCCCTCTTAAACCGTGCTCCGCGCTGTAGTGGAAACGCGCCATTAGTTGGTGTTTCGAGTCCTTGAGTTTGGCATTTTTCGCCATCTGAGAGCCAGAAGGACCCTCCTTTATCTTGTATTTGACTCTAAATGTGATCGTAATTTACTAAAGGAACATCATGCTGTATCAAAGAGGAATTAAACCTAGCGATTGAGACCATAAAATCATCAGGAAAATGTTTACTAAGGTAATAAATCACGTGAGAAGTAAGGATATGTTTTCATAGACTTCTATGCAATTAGTTTTTGGAGATATTTGAGAGAATGCAGGATTAAGACAGTTCTGCACTGATATTACGTATTCTTCATTTTCTTTGTTAACCCCCTCACAATTTGGGAGAAGTCTGTAGATAAAACGTTTCAATTCATAGGGAAAAGTTCACCAGCAGTACTTGACAATTGAACACCATTTGAAATCCTCTTAGGACATACATATCCGTCAGTTTTATTCATATAGTACAACGACTATGCTGTTGCAGTTTACGCTCTTTCAAAATCCTAATTAATTTGTTAATAGTGGATGCATTAGCTAGTTTTCCATTGTTTATCTGTTTCCATTTTTGGTTGTTTTAGTTGCGTTGTTGGCGGTTCATAATGATTCTACCCTAACAAAGAAAATAGTTGGGATACAGATGTTAGGAAAATGGAGACAGAAGTGCAACAACTTGCTTGAAAACAACAAATCTAAATGCTTGTTTCAGACACTTTAACATGAGTGTAACTTATTTTTCATTGTCTTTCTTAACTACCTCATAAGTTGGGGAAAGGATATAAAAAAAACTGTTGACCTTCCCATGTAGAGGAAATATATTATCTAGATATATTATGCCAGAGGAACCGCCTGACGTGATGTCAAAGACGACTTTAACTCCCTTCATGTTTTATTTTAAAAACTTGTTTAAAAATGAACGTTTTGTTGGATGTATCATAGCATGCCAAAGGAGAGACAAGGTTTCTCATGGTTTATCTGTTTTCATTTATGGTTGTAAAATACTAACAAAGGATAGAGTAGATCAGTGGTTCTCAACCTGTGGTACGCGTACCACTGGTGGTACGCCAGCTCCCGCTCGTGGTTACGCGGAGGAATCTGACATATAAAATATATTTAAAATATATATATATATATTTTTATTTAATCTTTACACATAACACAGACATATAAAATACAGAAAACACAACTAAGTAAACAAAAAGACGAAAAGCAGTCACTACATTGAGCACATTTGGGACAGAAAGGTACACTACTTATCACTGCAAGAGCAGCTGGTGGTAAGGACCTCAGACAACTTCCATTTAAAACAGGCTATAGGGACAAGTGCCATCAGTTTGAGGCGTGATTGAATAACATTCATTACAAAATAAATCATACTACATCGAATGAAAATAAGATTGAGATAATTGAAACTGTGGTTTAAATAAGTTCTAATAGGCTATTGTTGTTTTTAGATTTAGAAACACATATTTTTTTTAAATGTATTTCTGGCGTTGCTAATGACGACCATACTACCTGCGAACGTTGCAAGCAAGCTAAAGAAAGAAGAAAGCTGAATGATGTTGTGAGAGAGGAGAATATTACCAGCGGAAGTGAACAAGTGAATGAGGAGGAGGACAGTCATCAACCGAGCACGAGCACAGGCTCCGCCAGCAACGCAACAGTGATATGCACAGCCGCTGTGATGGAGGAGAGAAGAGACTCAGGAAGAAGGCATTTGCGCAAAGAATGGAGAGAAGGCTGTGACCGAGGTCAAAAGCTGGAAAAGCACACACTTGTCTCGTTATCTTTTTTCTTTTGTACTTTGCCACCACAGAAATGGCAATAGCAAACATCAGCAGACTGAAGATGAGCTATTAGCCCTCAGGCTCATCTGCTCCTGGAGGCTTCATTATTATTATTATGGAACTGAATTCCCAAGAGGACATTTTCTGTTACAATGTGGGTGGTTGCAGGAGGCCCACATTCACACTTTGGTATAGGTCCAGGAAATGACATGTGTGTACAGATAGCATTTGTTGTGTGAGAATAAGTTATTTTGTTCTTTATATCCTCACTTGTCGTGATGAATGAGTGATGAGTGAGTGATGAGTGAGTGATGAGTGAGAGAGTAAGTGATGAGTGTGAGTGAGTAGTGAGTTGAGTGATGAGTAAGAGAGTGAGTGAGAGAGTGAGTGATGAGTGAGTGATGAGTGAGAGAGTGAGTGAGAGTGAGTGAGAGTGAGTGAGAGTGAGTGATGAGTGAGTTGAGTGAGTGAGATAGTGAGTGAGTAGTGAGTGAGTGGTGAGTTGAGTGAGAGTGAATGAGTGATGAGTGAGAGAGTGATGAGTGAGTGATGAGTGAGAGAGTAAGTGATGAGTGAGTGATGAGTGAGTAGTGAGTGATGAGTGAGAGAGTGAGTGATGAGTGATGAGTGAGAGAGTGATGAGTGAGTGATGAGTGAGAGAGTGAGTGATGAGTGAGAGAGTGAGTGATGAGTGAGAGAGTGAGTGATGAGTGAGAGAGTGAGTGATGAGTGAGAGAGTGAGTGATGAGTGAGAGAGTGAGTGATGAGTGAGAGAGTGAGTGATGAGTGAGAGAGTGAGTGATGAGTGATGAGTGAGAGAGTGAGAGAGTGATGAGTGAGTTGAGTGATGAGTGAGAGAGTGAGAGAGTGATGAGTGAGTGATGAGTGAGTGATGAGTGAGTGATGAGTGAGTGAGTAGTGAGTGAGGAGTGAGAGTGAGTGAGAGTGAGTGATGAGTGAGTTGAGTGATGAGTGAGAGAGTAAGTGATGAGTGAGTGATGAGTGAGAGAGTGAGTGAGAGAGTAAGTAGTGAGTGTTGAGTGATGAGTGAGTGAGTAGTGAGAGAGTAAGTGATGAGTGAGTGAGTGATGAGTGATGAGTGATGAGTGAGTTGAGTGATGAGTGAGAGAGTGAGAGAGTGATGAGTGAGTGATGAGTGAGTGAGAGAGTGAGTGAGAGAGTGAGTGATGAGTGAGTGAGTAGTGAGTGATGAGTGAGAGTGAGTGATGAGTGAGTGATGAGTGAGTTGAGTGATGAGTGAGTGATGAGTGAGAGAGTGAGTGAGAGAGTAAGTAGTGAGTGATGAGTGAGAGAGTAAGTAGTGAGTGGTGAGTAGTGAATTGAGTGATGAGTGAGTGAGTAGTGAGAGAGTAAGTGATGAGTGAGTGATGAGTGAGAGAGTAAGTGATGAGTGAGTGAGTAGTGAGCGAGAGAGTGAGAGAGTGAGTGAGTAGTGAGTGAGAGAGTGAGAGAGTGATTGGTGAGTGAGTGAGTGATGAGTGAGAGAGTAAGTAGTGAGTGAGTGATGAGTGAGAGAGTAAGTGATGAGTGAGTTGAGTGATGAGTGAGTTGAGTGATGAGTGAGTGATGAGTGAGTGCGTGAGTGAGTTGAGTGATGAGTGAGTGAGTGATGAGTGCGTGAGTGAGTGCGTGAGTGAGTGAGTAGTGATGAGTGAGAGAGAGAGAGACTGCCCT